AAGTTTGCAATTTCAAAACGCTCGATCGACTTTTTTTCAAAACCGACTCCAATTTTTTTTCAACTTTTTGTTCGGATAATGCTAAACATACATACATAAACTACACATAGTCATCTTAATGTATTCTTTGAATTTTTCAAAACTTACTTAAAAGTAATTTTTTGAAATACCTCTCACGTCGATAATATTTACATTAAAGGTATTCCTTATGTGTTTGCATTTGTAAGCGCAAGTGCGTCCAATTATTTCTCATGAACTTTCCCAAAAAATATTAACAACAGTTTTTCATTATATAGTCTCAGTAACTGATATTACTTATCCAAATCAAAAAGCAACAAAAAATTAAATAATTTCAATAAAAAGCTTAATACTTTCTTCAAGCTAAATATATTACTTTATCATAACGAAAACAAGGTCAAGTTTTCGGCACTCAAATAAATACAAATGATATAAAAGGCAACATCAAACAAAATAACATAGAAAAAACATTACTCCCCTAGAATATAAAATAATTGATGTCATAAACTAGCTACTACTCTCTCTCTCTCTCTCTCTCTCTTTGTCCCCCTCTGTCTCTTTCCCCCTCTCTCTTCCCATTCTTTCTCCCTCTTTTCCCTATCTTTTTTTCCCTCTCTCTTTTCCATAACTCTCTTTCCCACTGTTTTCCCTATCTCTTTTCATCTCTCTTTCCTGTTCTCTAACTGTCCCTTTCAGTTTTCTCTCTCAATTCCTCTTTTCCTCTCTCTTTCCCCCTGTCATCTCTTTCGCTCTCTTTTTCTCTATCTCTATATTTCCCTCTCTCTTTTTCTCTCTCTCTCTCCATCTCTCTTTTCCCTCTATCTTTCTCCTGTCTTTTTTCTTCTCTTCTTCCCTCCCCTCTTTTCTCTCTCTTTTTCTCTCTCTCTTTCCCACTCTGTTTTCCCTATCTCTTTTCCTCTCTCTTTCCTTTTCTCTAACTGTATCTCTCAATTTTCTCTCCCTCTCACTTCCTCTCTTTCCCTCTCTCTTTTCCCCTGCTTCCATTTCACTCTCCTTCCTCTATCTCTATATTTTGAAATTATTTTGGGAATTGCATTTAAATGAAGAGTCATCTTGTGCTGCATGTTTTATCGCCATCGGATGAACGGTACGGCAGCCATTAAGCATGAAGCAACAAAAAACAATCATCATCAATTTTTATATATTAGATAATATTCTTGAATAATTCTCTATAAAAAATGATGTTATTCCTCCATTGGAATTATTTATTAAACTGTGCCATTTGAATGTTTCAAAGACTCTTAAAAGAATGGCGCGTTAGAATCACTGATTTTTTGAAAATTGCATAAGCTCACAAAAACGGTTTCAAATGTTATATTTAAATATTCTCCTCGTATATGTCAAAGAACGATAAAAATTGACGCTAGTCGATTTCGACGAACTCTCTGTATTTTCGAAAATTGAAAAGGTAATATTTCAAAATTACATATTTAAAGATAAAAATTTATATCCGAAACAAAATCTGTTCTAAAACTCAGATCATTAAAAACAGCCGTGTACACCTTTTAGGGAAAAAACCAATAGTTTTCGCGCAATTTCTGCTTGAAATTAATGCACATTGATAAAAAAGACGTTTTTTCAAAAAGTACTCCAACATTTTCTTCAAATATTTTCTACGGATTGAAAGAGGAACGCTTTCAGATGAATGGCGCAAGTCTGAATTTCGCTGAACTATCTGAATTTTGAAAAATTGCAAATTTAGAACTAATGCGAGAAAGTATGTGTCGTTGCACCACTATGTTTTGAAATATCTTTCTCGTCTATTATATAACATCTATACCAAGACTTCGCGGTCAGTTTAATTTGTTTATGTGGGTGCGCTGAGCCCGCCGGAGGTGGAAGCAGGTGGTGTGAAAGAGGGGAAGTGTAGTTTGAGGGTTGGGGGGGGGGAGTAGGGGCAAAGCGGAGCGCGGGGTTTGGTCGGCCGGAGGTGAAGGAGGCTCGGGCGCATAAGCGGCAAACATCCGGTTGGAAGAGAGACGTTGTGGCCGGCAACGGCCCAGCTGTTCTGCTACGCGCCCTCGTTCGGGCCTTCTCGCAGGCTTAACCCGACGGACCCTGCCGACCGTTATGGGTCCGGGACAGCTACGCGCCGCGCGCCTGCTCTCTGCTGCGTGTGTCACCTGAACGCGCCCTGGACTGGGCCTTCGCAGCATGCGCGCCGTGCCCCTGCCCAGCCCACTGCGTGCCCGTGACACCTGACGCGCCCTCGACTGCGCCTTCGCAGACATGCCACGTGCCTGCAGGCCACTGCGGCCCCGTACACCTCGACGCGCCCTCGCTGGGCCTTCTCAGGACATTGCCCGCCGCCTGCAGCCACCGGGGGCGTGCCACTGTGTGCATACCAACCTGGACGCGTCCGCGACTGGGCCTTCCGGCAGACATGGCCCGTGCCTGCAGCCACTGCGTCCCGTGACACTGACCGCGCCCTCGCTGGGCCTTTCCAGAACATGCCCGCGCCTGAGCCAGCTGCGGCGCACTGTCTGCCATGACACCTGGGACGCCGCCCTCGGCTGGCCTTCGGCAGACAAATGGCCCCGTGCCTGCCAGCACTGCTTGCCCGTGAACCCTGACCGCGCCCTCGACTGGTGCCTTCGCAGACAGTGGGCCCGTGCTGCCAGCCACTGCGTGCCGCTGACACCTGGACCGCGCCCCTCGGCTGCCTTCGCAGACAGCCCGTGCCTGCAGCCACTGGCGTCCGCGTGACACTGTGACGCCGCCCTCGGACGGGCCCTTCGCAGACATTGCCGCCGCCTTGCAGCACCGCGTGCCACTGTGTGCCCATGACACGCTGGACGCGCCCTCGTCTGGGACCTTCACAGACATGGGCCCGTGCCTTGCGAAGCCACTGCGTGTCCGGTGACACCGGACGCGCCCTCAACTGGCCTTCCCGCAGACATGGCCCCCGTGCCTGCAGCCACTGCGTGCCCGTGACATCCTGACGCGCCCCCGCGACCTGGGCCTTCGCAGACATGCCCTTGCGCCCACCTGGTGCCCGTACACCTGGACGCGCCCTCGCTGCCTTCCCGCAGGACATGCCCGCCGCCTGCAGCCACTGCGTGCCCATGTTGCCCATTTGACACTGGACGCGCCCTCGACTGGCCTTCGCAGACCATGCCCGCGGCCGTATGCAGTCAGCTGCGCGCCCGCGTGACAACCTGGACGCGCCCTCGGCTGCGGCCTTCCCGCAGACATTGCCCGCGCCTGCAGCCCAAAACGCGTCCACTGTGGGCCAATGACACCTGACCGCCCCCTCGACTGGCCCTTTCCCGCAGACCCATGGCCCCGTGGCCTCCCACAGTCCCCACTGGGCCGTTCCTCTCGTGACACCTGGACGTGCCCTCGGCTGGGCCTTCGCAGGCATGGCCCGCGCCTGCAGCCACTTCGTGCCATTGTGTGCCCATGACCACTAGACGCGCCCTCGCTCGGGCCTTCGCACGCATTGCCCGCGCCTACTTAAGACAGCTACTCACATTCTGCATTTACCGAATAGCGAGCTACTACTCGCCCAATCCCGAACAGCTGATGTGTTCGGCGAATGTTCGCTTCCTTTGATGTGTCCTAAAGACCGACACGCGGTGGGTAGGGCGAATACCGAATGTTCGTCGCTCGGCGAATCGCAAGCAACCCGTCCATACTACTCGGTATTCGGCGAGCGGTTGCTCGGGATTCGCCGAATGCCGAATGTGTGGAGCCGCCTTAACGTTACGCGTCTGCGGCAGATTCACGCCGCTGGCTTCCCGCCTCTGTGTTGTTAGAGGAAGTGATTGTTAGAGGAAATGTTTTACTTTATCTAAGAACAAAATTTATCCACTTTTTCGTTAACCCTGAAAGGGTTGCGTGAGAGAACTTGGACTGAAACTTTATTTTTTGATGTACAGTTTTGTTCAAGAGTATTGTTTACGTTTGTGTTTTTTAGTATCTTTACCCTAATATTTTATCTGAAAAGTCCATAACTCATCACACACTATCGTTCTCTCCGCCGATTCTTAGATATTTATTTTGTCTGGGGGGGAGGGGGGTGTCTCGGACAGGCGCGGTGTCCTTGAGATAATCTGCATTTTCTATGGCACAACCCAAATGTCTGTCAACTTGCAGGTGGATAAAACATTTTTGGTACTCGCTTTCAGTATTGATACCGCCAGAAACAATTGTCGATGTAAGTTTGCATCGTATTTACTCGTGGTTTATATTGTTAACAACACTAACAGAACTGCCACGAGATTTGAGGTCAACTAATTTCTCGGTAATAAGATCCTACAAACATGGATTCAGACGATATAACGTGTTAGAAGAAGTAATTTACTATATATAGAAGCAATATTTATCCAATTTTTGGAAACCAAGACACCATAATTGGAGATTTTTATCAAATAATTCAAAATCCTGTCTCAATACAGTACTTTCTCATTACTAAGTTAGTATGTAGTAGAGCAAGTAAGAGAAAGTTTCTCCGTACCAGGTATTCACTGATCGTGCATTTCTCTCAAAATATTGACGCGATTTTTTTGCAGCATTACATTTCTTGGTCTGCACTACAGACATAAAAAGGAAGGAGATAGCGCTTATCGGTAATAATTGGAAGTTGTAAACATTGTACTAGATTTCGATCTTAGCCGAGAGATTCGACGTATGGCTAGCACTCGCGTGACTCGAAGAAGTCCGATGTCCTTGTCCTCTGCGGCGGCGGCGGCGGCGGCGGCGGCCCAGACGATACAAATGCGCTCGAGACAGACTCTAAGTGAAGTGAATGTGAGAGCAAAAGTGGGTGCATAGTGCAAGGGCGTGTGCCGGACTCTCTTCGGAAAGGCGGCGGCGGCGGCGTAGGCGGCGCCTGCGAGATGCGTGGGGTGGCGTGGCGTGGCGTGGCGTGTTTGCGAGTGGCGGGGACTCCTCTATCACCACCGTTTTGCACGATCGCATGCAGTTCGTGAGTAACCTCAGCTGGCGCCGCTTCGCCTTCTGTCGAACCGTCAGAAGCGGACGTTGAAGTGTCGTTCTGACATTCTCACCTCTCCCGCGAGTTTTGGGTTTTGAAGGTGAGTTCGGGACTAGAGTTGGTCAGTGCGAAAGGTGTTCGTATCTCAAATCGTTCTATGTGATTATTAATTTGATGCTGTTGTCATACATTTTCATTTTCTGTCACATTTGCAAGATATATCAAAATGTTTCCACGTATTTCAAACCTTAATTAACTCAACTTAAGTTCATTGTCGCTGAATATTCAATATTTCAGGCATTAGTCATTTTCAATATTTCATGAATTTCAACACGATTCGCAAACTATGATTTTGTCTAAAACTTATCCAATTTTTATTTCATCGCTATCGCTAACGCAATATATTACTATCTTGTATACATACGTATTTGTACATACAGAAAATTAAAAGTAAGACAGAGAAAGTAAGGCAGATATTTCGACAGAAAATTGGGAGAGGTGGCCTAGGGCATCAACTGATGTCACTGTAATGCCTCTGACCGGGAGGTCCTAGGTTCGAGTCCCTACAGTGGCAAGTTTTCGACACTAACTTGTTCGCTAGGTAGAATTCAGTCGCTGTATGGAGGAGAAATCTAGCGGCCGGCTGCTCTGAGCGGTAGCCTTCCGTCGTTTCTCCGATCAACACCAGGCGAATGCCGGAACAGTTCCCTAACGGGCCACGGACCGCGCGCGATCTTTCCTTCCTCTTAATTGTCTTATCCTCATCTCATGCTTACACACACGCAATACACTACTGCACACGCCGGGAGACCAGTCGGGAGCTTAGAGCTTGTGCCGGTTGGAGCGATGCCTCGCTGATGGGAGATACCTGGTTGGGGAAAACCTCGCTAGCCGACGGTAGATCGGCGTTGGATCTCGCCATCTAATCGAGAAATCCAGGCGGAAAAAATCACCACAACCTTCGGAGGAAAAAATGCACTACACTTACAGGACTCGTGACCTTAGCAGGTGATGCTGGAAATAACTAACAATTAATGAATAAATCAAACAACACGCGGAGTAGTCAGAAACCATGTTTTGCGAGAAATTAATCGCGAAAAATCGATTTAGGGCAAAACGTGTGTCAGCCTGTGGTTAACGCTGACGCCTAAGTCATTCAGCGGATTTTCTCCAAAATTAATTAAGCGGCACTCGAGGCTTGGGAGTTGCGAACGGACATTTTGATTTTTGAGGGCACTTTACTCGAAGCCTCAAAAAATATTTTCAATTTTTTTATGGCTCAAACTTTGTGGATTAGGCTTTGCCCTCGGATAACGACGAGGTCGCTGTAGAGAAAGGTACAGGTCTCATGTTAGTTGATATCTAATTTTAATATTGCCCGTATGTCACTCAACATTGCTAGCAAACTGTCAACACTTTTAAAAAAATGTCCATAACGTTAATGAAAGAAATAAGTGTGGAGAACAAATTTCATTTGAATAAAAATCCCTATCATCTTGATTGTAGCTGTAGGAATACGCTGAAAAAATTCAAACTTTTGTAATTTCCGAAAATTCAGAGTTAAAAGTGAAATTCGGACCTACGCCATCTTTATGTCTATTTCACTCCATTCGTCCAATAAGTTTAAGGAAATAATTTGGAGTATTTATTGAAAAACTTTAGAACATGTCCCAGGGGCTTCATTTTAAAGTACCTCCAAAGTTTTTCAAAAACTTTGATTTGTGAGAGATCGATCGGGAATTATTTATTTTGTAAAAAATCTTACAAATAGTTTAGACGCTGCGGTTGTTCAGAGACGGAAGAACGTTTTGATAAGTAGTGGAGCAACAAAAGCACATATTGTGTTCTTGGCTCGACACCTCGGTACGGGCCTTGGCCAACCAGCAGTGAGCCAACCTCTGGGCCATGGGGTAAGGGGTTCGTGTGGTTAGCACTAAGACATCCCTTCACCGTATATGCTGGTCTTCTTAACCTTAGGATGGGCTTTCTCATCGTCACACAGCAATAGATACTGAGACATTTGTAAGGAAGGCACACAGTTACAACTTGCGTCGGTCGGAAATCGAATCCGGGGTCGCGCCGTGGAAAGCGAGCTAGCTGACTAACGAGACATTTGAGAAGGTAAGCACATACTATCTCACATTGTTTCTAAATTTGCAACTTTAGAAAATAGAGTTCAAAGAAAAAAAGACCTGCATCATTTTTAAGCGTTAAATGTGTAGTAAATGTAGGAGCGATTTTTAAGAAAATGTTCTTTTAATAAATTTAATGTACAAATTACGCAAAAATACTTTTTTTCGCAAAAATTGTACCTTATCTCGTTTTAAAGAGCAGATTTTTTGTAACATATTTGGTTTAAGGCAAAAATCTACATCTTCAGTGTTGTAGTTTTGATTAAATTAAATTATAGCAATTTTCAAAAGTACGAAGAGTTCGTCTGAAATGGGACTAGCACCAATATTTTGTCGTACTTTGTTACACGAGGATAAAGTTGAAAGAAAACAATTGGAGCATTAAAAAAAGCAAAAACCAACCAAAACGTTTGTTTGTTTCAATTTTTTCTCCTTATCTATAAGAGGTCAGTAAAATATGCTGAGCAAGTCTTATTCCCAGCAAACTTTCTCTATTTTCGAAAATTGCAAAAGTTAATACTTCAGACTACCAAATGTAAGCTAAATATATTTGCTTTTAACAAAATCAAATTCAAAGCATCAGCTATTTAAGAAAAGTCGTGTACACGTTTTTGAAAAAATCGAAAATTGACCCGTAATTTCTACCTGAATGCAATAAAAAGCACTTTCCAATTATTTTTTTACTTTGATTTTTTAAGGATAAAACAAGGAACGAAAAAAAGTTGAGATCTCAATTTCACTGATCTCTCTGAATGTTTGAAAATTGCCTTTTGGAATATTGGATTGAGACAACTATATTTTAAGCGTTGTGTCGACCCGATTGGAATGCCAGAGTGCTTGCTTGGTGTAGCAGTAAGCTGCACGACCAGTTAACTCGGAGGACTTGAGTTCCAGCCTTGGTGCGGGAAAGGGATTTGGCTGGTTGAAAACACTTGCGGGTTCTTGTAGTAGTATAATATTGTGGAGCAATTATAAATAATGCGAGAAAGTGTGTGCTGATGTAACACCACTCGATCGATATCAACTACTAACGATCCATCGCACACATATCAGGATTAAAGACTATTAACTCTCTTTCAAAGATCGTTAAAATTACTGTAGGTGGCGAAGAGAAAAACGCAAGTTTATAACAAATAAAAATCGGTACCTTGAACACATATTTTGAGTCCGAAAATTATGGTTTTTATTGTTGAGGTGATTCCTATCCTGTTCTATCCTGTTGGTGCCTCCCTAACCCTCACCGGTTGTGATTAAGCCAGTATAATCTTAAGGCAGTTACCATTTAACTTCACGATAGGATTAAAAAAACAATTTTAATTAATTTTTGAGCAAATTAATAAACAATTAAGTAGTTCTAAGTGGTGAAATATTTCCTTTTGGAAGATTGATTGTGTCTGAACTGGATTAAATCTTAACAAAGTTTACCAATAATTACATAGTTTGTAGAGAAATTTAATTATGTTAAACTCAATAATTGGGAATTAAATAGTTATTCTGAATGGTGAATTGTTTGTTTTTGTGGTTACTGGTTGTGATCGTGTGAGCTGACGTTTGATGTTAGCTCACCATAATTACAAAAAACATAGATCATTTAATTAAATTTCGCACAATTAATTATCAATTAAATATTTTTGAGTATGGAGAATTTGTTTTGCGGCTTGCTTAAGTCTTCATTAAATACATTATTTATACCAACATGTGAAGAGAAATTAAATTAATTTTGCGCATTTTATTAGCTAATACATTATTCTGAATGGCGTCATCATAATGCTTGTGATATATAGATTGTGATTGTGCCTGTTTGAAGGAGCTGATACCAGTTCATTAATAGAATGAACAAGCCAAATGAATTGGTTAATTATCTATCTCACAAGTCGAGTAATATTTTAAATGCACTTTATAAAGTCTAAAAAAAATCGCAAATCTATTAGATCATAAAAATATTTATCTAATGTCACTTGGAAAAGAAACTCTGGGCATTTTTAATGCGTTTTGAAATGAAATGAGTCAATTCTTTTGACGCCAGTCTTTTTTATCGTACATCTGCTTATCTTTGTAAATGCACTTCAAATATCGACGTCTTTCACCTTGACCGAGAGTTGCAGTGTAAATGAAGGCGCGCCTTGCAGGTTGCGCGCAGTCATGGCTCTGACGCTGGTGTTGGTGGCGGTGACGGTGCTGCTAGCGCTCCTGGCGGCGAAGCGCCTGTACCATCAGGCGTACGAGCGGCCGCCCAACTTCCCGCCCGGTGAGTGACCCAGACATTAGGGACGCCACTTCGACGTCGATGTTTACAAAACATCAATGATTTTTTCTTTTGCGTTTGAAAAAAAAAATGTCTAGTGAAGCGAACCGTACCTGAAGTGTCGTTCTGTTCTTTGTGCTGTTCTTCTGAAAAAAGTGACAAAGGGTGAAAAATAAAATCGAGTTTTCGTCCTTAAAGAAGCCTGTGTTATTTTTCAAATATCGAATCACGTAATCCAATTTTTTTTAATTGTCCTGAGATTTTTTGACTATTTTGCCAAATAAATCTCAATTAAAAATATTAATAAATGAGATCACTTTCAAATTAAATCCCCCTGTATGAACTTCAATAGGTTACTAATTCAGTTTTAAAAATATTCACGTTTAACACCATCGATAGTTTTGGGTCGATGTTTTATTTTGATCGATATATTCATTTTGAGCATTGATGTTTAGAAACATGGATGTTGTTTGGTGAAGTCGCATCCCTACCAAGGATAGGCTAGGGTAGGTTCACGCGCAATGATGCGTACATGCGGGCAAGCGAGAGGGCAAGTTTGAAAGCTCAATCATCAAATTCTTTCCTTGCTTTGAACTCTAAAAAATTCATATTGCTACTAAGTAAGCATTGTATCTAGATATTCATGCGCCTATGGCAAACAAAGAATTTGCGTCCCTGTCTGAATACTTCAAGTTTTGGTTTTTGTTATGTTTTTGCGGGTATACTCTAAATAGCGCCCCTGTGAATGGCACCCGTGCTATGTATGCCGTATCTATGCTGGCCTTACATTAGCACTACGTTTCCGCAATATCTTTCAGCAATTTGTTTCTGCTTCTTGCGGTCATCTTTACACTAGCAAGAGCATGAAAGGGTAATATATTGTCAGAAAGATCTGAGCAAGATCTTTCCGACAAGATATTGCTGATCGTTTTACATTAGGATTATTTGTTGTCGTGTTTGGTGACGGTAAAGGCGCATGAAATTAAGTGAGGGTATACCTCACTTCCCGACATAACCTAGTTGAAGGAAGAAGATGGAAGGTGCGGTCGCACTAATTGTGCTAAATGAGGAGATGAAGTAACGCCAACGATTTGTGAGGACGTGTGGCTAAATTTCAAGACTGAAGGAAAAGAGGCTTGTGCAAATTAGATGGAAGTGTCTTAATATTTTTCATAAAACAAAAAAATTGGAATTGTGGAATTCGATTCTTGTGGGCGCAAAGTCATGTTCTTTTAATAAAAAATTCATTTACTAATTTGGTAAAAAGTTTTAAAATATCCATTACCTACTACTGGTGTATTATAGATTAATCTGAAAATTGATTTATATTAGATGAATATCTTAATGGTTTTGATCATAAAAAATTAATAATTAGGGGACATCTATAGCTGAACCAAAATTAGAACCTTTGATAATCAACCGTAGAGGAATTATTTATTACTAATTTTATTGTCGTAAACCTTTTTCACACACACATTTTACGAAAAAATGCATATTGCAATGCAAATATTACGTGTATGTACTACCTTAACCGTACTTCCTGCGCATGTGACCGTGGTCAACATTGGCTTCTTCCAGCAATATCTTGCTCAGACTTCAATCCAATTCTAATCCCAGCAACAACCGGCAATATCTTTCCGAGGATGGAAACACACGAGTTTACATTTCGGCCGGAATATCTAGCAAGAAATATTGCCGACATCAGAAATATTTATTGCCGCAATGTTTACATTGGCAACTTTTCTTGCGAAATAATATTCCTCGCCATTTTCTTGCAAGTCGAAAGCCAGCTAGAGATAGTATGCCTCTTGTAAGCATTACTGCTTCTTGGAAGCGCAGGATATTGTAAATTAAACGTAAGTTCATTTTTATCCATTTCGTTCTCTCATTAATTTGAGGCATTACTTACACTTCTGCATTGTATTTTATATTGAAAATTTAATATTTTAAAACCAAGCTGCCCATCCAAAACCATTCTTTATTGTGCATTTTACGGACCTGAAAATGTTAGTGGATTGTCAGTGAGCTATGAAATCAATTACTTGTAATATGTTGGAGATTACAGGCTGTCCAGACACACCCGCACCCACAGAGATCACCGTAGGCACTATCACATGATGAACAAAAGCCTTGCGTACTCATGCAATGATATATTCTACATTATAAATAATATTAAGGAGGTGAATGGTAATAAGAAATCAGAATAAAATGCGTTTCGATACTAACACTTATAATCGATTTTTAATTACATATTTTTACCAATTATTGTTTGTAATTGATATTTTTAATTTTCAATAAGCGCAATAAACTTTGCTGACTCCAGGCATGTGAGAGGTGTCTATTATTGCATAAGATACCTAGGAGGTCAGTAAAAATGCAAAAGGAATGAAACAGTTGCGATATTCACTGAAAAATGTAAATATTTGGATTATGCTATTGAGCAATCGTTCTTACTGTCAATGTCTTGCAACAACTTAGTGCGTCACGGTCGATAATAATGGATATGATCATAATGAATAATAATGCCTTTAATTAGTGAGGGGACATGCACAGAGTAATAAGTCTTGTGCAAACATTAAACAATAATGCTGACATATTATTTTTACAAGAAATAGTGCTCCATTCTCTTTCTCCTTGTACGCCCTCGGGCGCAACAAGATCTATTGTATTTACTAGGCTGTCGGGTGACGCCGCCGTCCCAATGGCTGAGAGGTGCCCGGACGTTTCGGATCGCCATTCTGCGAACCTTCCGTGAGGGGGGCCTAATGCTGACTCCGGCCGCGGAAGCCTACGCTGCTCTCGAGATCTATTGTAATTCCGTGCTGAGTGGATCCGTCGCTAATTACTGGCGCTGTATCGACCGTCGTACTGCCATCCGCACTCATTGCTGAGGCAAACTGAGCATAATAATAGTATGATCATAATAATAATAATTCCTTAATTCAGTGGAGGACAGCACGATATTAAAGTTTGTGCAAAACATTAAACATACTGCAGAAATTATTTTTTTACCAAAGAAAATAGTGTTCCATTTCTTCTCCTTGTACCGGCCTCGGCGCAACTAAGATCTAATTGTATTTAACTTGGCTGTCCGGGTGACGCCGCGTTCAGGCGACGGTGACAGTTTCGGTCGCCCTTCTGCGACCTTCCTGAGGGCGTAAGTGCTGACTCGCGGCCGCGGAACCTCCGCTCTCTCGAGATTCTAAATTGTTTGGTATTCCGTGCTGGTGATCCGTACTATTCTGCGCTGTATGCACCGCCCCTCCGTGTACTGCCTCCGCATCCTTGCCTGAGGCAACTGAGGCTATAATAAAGTATGATCGATAATAATAATAATGCCTTTAATTAGTGGAGGACACGCCACCGAGTAACGTAAGTTTGTGCAAAACCTTAAACATAATCAGAATTATTTTTTTACCAAGAAATAGTTGTTCCATTTTCTTTCTCCTGTACCGCCTCGGGCGAACTAGAGATTCTATGTATTTAATAGGCGTCCGGTGACGCCGCGTTCATGGCAAGAGTGCCGGACGTTTCGGTCGCCATTCTGCGACCTTCCCTCAGGGGTAATGCTGGACTCGGCCTGCGGAAGCCTACGCTCTCTCGAGATTATTGTATTCCGTGCTGAGTGAGTCCATTACTAATTACTGTCGCTGTTATGTCAACCCGTGTACTGCCTCCGCACTCATTGCTGAGGCAACTGACATAATAATTATATGATCTATAATGAATAAGTAATGCTTTATTAGTGGAGGGACAGCACGAGTAATATCAGTTTGTGCAAAAACATTAACATAATTGCTGAAATTATTTTTTACCAAGAAATATGTTCATTTCTTTCTCCTTTGTACCGCCTCGGTGGCAACTAATGATCTATTGTATTACTAGCTGTCCGGGTGACGCCGCGTCCAGGCGAAGTGGTGCCGACGTTTCGGTCGCATTCTGCGACTTTCCTAGAGGGCGTAATGCTGACTCCGGCCGCGGAAAGCCTACGCTCTCTGAGATCTATTTGTAATTCCGTGGTGCAGTGAAATCCGTACTAATTACTGCGGCTGTTCGCACCCGTGTACTGCCTCGCACTCATTGCTGAGCAACTGAGTATAATATATTGATCAGATAATAATAATAATGCCTTTATTAGTGGAGGGACAGCAACGAGTAATAAGTTTGTGCAAAACATTAAACAAATGCAGAAATTATTTTTTTTAACAGAAATAGTGTCCATTTCTTTCTCCTGGTACCGCCCTCGGGCGCAAACTAAAGATCTATTGTATTAATAGGCTGTTCGGGTAGACGCGCGTTCATGGCGAAGGTGCCGACGTTTCGGTCGCCATTCTGCGACCTTCCTGAGGGCGTTAATGCTGACGACTCGGCCGCGGAACCTACGCTCTCTCGAGATCTATTGTATTCCGATGACTGAGTGATCCGTACTAATTACTGGCGCTGTATCGCACCCGTGTACTGGCTCCGCACTCATTGCTGAGGCAACTGAGCATAATAATAATGATCATAAAAAAAATAATGCTTTATTAGTGGAGGGACAGCACGAGTAATAAGTTTGTGCAAAACATTAAACATAATGCAGAAATTATTTTTTTTTACCAAGAATATAGTGTTCATTTCTTTCTCTGTGTACCGCCCTCGGGCCGCAAACTAATGATCTATTGTATTTAATCGGCTGTCCGGGTGACGCCGCGTCCATGGCGAAGGTGCCGACGTTTGGGTCGCCATGTCGGACCTTCCTGGGGCGTAATGCTGACTCCGGCCGCGGAAGCCTACGCTCTCTCGAGACTCTATGTATTCCGTGCTGAGTGATCCGTACTTAATTACTGCGCTGTATCGCACCGTGTACTGCCTCCGCACTCATTGCTGAGGCAACTGAGCATAATAATATTATGATCATAATAATAAATAATGCCTTTATTAGGTGGAGGGACAGCACGAGTAATAAGTTTGTGCAAAACATTAAACATAATGCAGAAATTATTTTTTTACCAAGAAATAGGTTCCATTTCTTTCTCCTTGTACCGCCCTGGCGCAACTAAGATCTATTGTATTTAATAGGCTGTCTCGGGTGACGCCGGCGTCATGGCGAAGGTGCGACGTTTGCGTCGCCATGGTCCTGCGACTCCTGAGGGCGTAATGCTGACTCCGGCGCGGAAGCCTACGCTCTCTCGAGATATGTATTCCGTGCTGAGTGATCCGTACTAATTACCGCGCTGTATCGCACCGCGTTGTACGCCTCCGCACTATTGCTGAGGCATACTGAGCATAATATATATAATAGATAATAAATATGCCTTTTAGTGGAAGGACCAGCACGAAGTAATAAGTTTGTGTGCAAAACATTAAACATAAGCAGAAATTATTTTTTACCAAGAAATAGTGTTCCATTTCTTTCTCCCTTGTAACCGCCCTCGGGCGCAACCTAAGATCTATTGTATTAATAGGCTGTCCGGGTGACGCCGCGTTCCATGGCGAAGGTGCCGACGTTGCGGTCGCCATTCTGCGACCTTCCTGGAGGGCGTAATGCTGACTCCGGCGCGAAGGCCTACGCCTCTCTCGAGATCTATTGTATTCCGGCTGAGTGAATCCGTTACTAATTGACTGCGCTGTATCGCACCCGTGTACTGCCTCCGCACTCATTGCTGAGGCACTGAGCATAATATATGATGCTCATATATAATAAATATGCCTTTATTAGTGGAGGGACAGCACGAGTAATAAGTTTGTGCAAAACATTAAACATAATGCAGAAATTAAATTTTTTTACCAAGAAATATGTGTTCCATTTCTTTCTCCTTGTACCGCCCTCGGGCGCAACTAGATCTATTGTATTTAATAGGCTGGTCCGGTGACGCCGCGTCCATGGCGAAGTGCGACGTTTGTGTCGCCATTCTCGCGACCTTCCTCAGGCGTAATGCTGACTCCGGCCGCGGAAGCCTACGCTCTCTCGAGATCTATTGTATTCCGTCGCTGAGTGATCCGTACTATTACTGCGCTGTATCGCACCCGTGTCTGCCTCCGCACTCATTGCTGAGGCAACTGTACATAATAATATATGATCATAATATAATAATGCCTTTATTAGTGGAGGACAGCACGAGTAATAGTTTGTGGGCAAAACATTGCAACTATGCAGAATTATTTTTTACCAAGAAATAGTGTTCATTTCTTTCTCCTTGTACCGCCTCGGCGCAACTAAGATCTATTGTATTTAATAGGCTGTCCGGGGTGACGCCGCGTCATGGCGAAGTGCGACGTTGCGGTCGCCATTCTGCGACCTTCCTGAGGGCGTAATGCTGACTCCGGCCGCGGAAGCCTACGCTCTCTCGAGATCTATTGTTTCCGTGCTGAAGTGATCCGTACTAATTACCGCGCTGTATCGCACCCGTGTATTGCCTCCGCACTCATTGCTGAGGCAACTGAGCATAATAATATATGATCATAATAATAATAATGCCTTTATTAGTGGAGGGAACAGCACAGTAATAAGTTTTGCAAAACATTAAACATAATGCAGAAATTATTTTTTTACCAAGAAATAGTGTTCCCTTTTCTTTCTCCTTGTACCGCCCTCGGGCGCACTAAGATCTATTGTATTTAATGGCTAGTCCGGGTGACGCGCCGCGTCCATGGCGAAGGTGACCGACGTTGCGGTCGCCATTCTGCGACCTTCCTGAGGGCGTAATGCTGACTCGGCCGCGGAAGCCTACGCTCTCTCGAGATCTATTTGTATTCCGTGCTGAGTGATCCGTACTAATTACTGCGCTGTATCGCACCCGTGTACTGCTCCCACTCATTGCTGAGGAACGAAAGCATTGTCGTAAGAAAAACTACCTGGATAGGTTGCTTCTCTTTTCGCGTCTTTGCAGAAGGAGATGCTTATCGGAACAGGGAAGGCTGCCACGGCTAGGGCAAATATTCCATAGCCGTATAGCCGGCGACAAATATGATTGTAACTGGAAATATGGTCAAACTATGTTTTTTTTCTTCTAGTTATTGGTGTTAGTATGAAGCACCTTAACTCCAATTTCGGACAAAGCCAGCTTTTTAATAGACAACTGACATGAATGCCCGAGTAATGCTAGGTTTCTTAAGGTATGTTTGTTAGACCGACCACGGTGAAGTACCCCCCAAAAAAGTACTTTAAATGAAAGCACAATCTCTGTACTTCAAGATGCTAAGGCAAAAATTGGCCCTTACCGGTCTATTTTTTTAATAAAAGAAGTTTATATTAGTACAGGCTCTTACAGAAAAACCTTCGCGGGCATAGGTTTCTTTAAGTTATTGAAGAAGTTTTACGGTTAATGTATCTTTTTATTTAATAAGCAGTAAATCTTTTTAGGAATCAGATGGTATTAAATGCAACGCATCTCACCTGACATTGTGAGTAGTAATTAATATAAAAGCTGCTGCGAAATTCATTGCAACCGGAAGTACTGGCTTTCGGCCTCTCCAGACCTTCAAGTTATGCTGTACAAATCATTCTATTGTCACCATTGTTTTTCTTTGGATACGAGATACCACGCTAACTTAAAATTTTGTACCTTACAAAACTACAAACTATTTGAAGAGAACTCGCTTTCAATGTAAACAATGTGGACTAATATTCAACGCAGAAAGAATGAAAAAATAGGCGCAGAAGTCAACCTAATCTATATTAAGTATCGCCAACTCGTGAAAATAAAAAGTGATGCGAGAAACTAAATTTATTAGTAAACATTGTTTTTATAAAGAAACTATTCAATATTTCCTTTTTCACTATTTACAAATAATTATTAAAATGCCCATTTTATGTTTACAAGATGCTATTGTTACTCTGTAGATGTAATAAATGGTCGAGTGTTTGACTAGCGACTGACACGAACGTACCATCTTAAGCTACAACTCCGGTAGCTTATAAGCGACTCTACGATTTCGATGCGCTTTTACCATACACTACTACGTACTGGCACCACCCACATAACTGATAAAGTCTCAAAACGTTATTTCGTACTGACAGGCGATGACTCGTCTTGAAATCATATTCATAACCTTCACCACTTCGAATCTTATCGCCTCCGCCATTTCAACCGACTCACATGATTGCCGACGCTGAACCCTGGCTGTCAGGAAGTAAACAAATCCTCGCCAGCTGATTGCTTCCGAGCAGGTCACATGACGTAACGCAGCTCGTGGGGAGAGAACTGTCAGGGTCGTTTATACGTTGCCGGTACTGTAGCACAAGAAACCTAGTATTTCTCGGGCATTTACACGTCACAGTCGTGTAATAAAACGCTGACGTTCATGGGTTTCCCGGTATTGGCGTCAAGATAAAAGATACCAGCAACCATTCTTCGCGTGGTTAGGACAAAAAAGTATAATCAAATTTACCATTTTTATTCAAGAAATATGTAATCTATTAATATGAAACACCTGGCAAGGTTTGTCCGAGTATTGATTGTTTGATTTTTTTTCCCGAGCATATCAGCTGCTATGGCCATTAGATTTGTTAGTGTAGTAATTTTCTTTCGCGGGAGATGATGTGGTACCCCTGCTGGATGGTGAGAGCCGACCTACATATGGACGTGTGGGATTTCCCCTCTCCAGGTACTGGCAAAGGTGGCTCAGGGCATCCACTGATGTCACTGCTGTGCCTTTGATCGAGAGTTCCTGGGGTTCGACTCCTGACAGTGGCAAGATTTTCGACACTAGCTTGTCAGCCAGGTCGAATTCAGCCACTGTCTGTAGGATAATTCTAGCGGCGGGATGCTGTTATCGGTAGTTTTCCGAGGTTTCTTCCACCACCACCAGGCGAATGCCAGAGTAGCACCTTTATAAACGGGCCACGGACCGCCCACGGTCCTTCCTCCTTTCCTTTCCGGGCTGGCCGCCGGTACGTGCGATTTCTGGGACCACAGTCGACCTAATCTTCAATACTCACGCTGTTGGATTCCGAGAACCCAGCGAGTCGAAACGACTATAACAAAAATCAGAGGAACTAAATTCGATTCCTTCATGACACTTGGCAACCGATTGCAACAATTATGAATAGCATAAAATCTCAACTAATGACTCAGGGGTCTTCCTAAAATCGCATTGCAGTCTCCTAAAGGACTAAACTTGGAAACCTATTATTGACAATAAAGGAAAGTTTGAAATAAAAAAAAATATTATTAGAGAAATTTGGTTGGGTTCTCCAATTGATTAAAATGAATTATTATTAATGTGGTCCTTTCATCTAAACCCGTCTTTTTTGTGGTTTACCCTAGTTCGTCATAACATGTTCCATAAAAATGTCATTTTATGAACGATTGCTTGTGCTGGGTTTGAAAAATTCAATTAAAAAATATGATTTAAAATAAAATTATACGATAAGTGTTAAAAATGAAGTTTCATTTTATAAGAGGCGACATGAACAACAAGCTAGTAACAACAAGCGAGTAGCTTCATGAGACATAAAGGAAATGTATTCTAAACCAACGAAGTAAAAACAGCCTTAACACGAATGACATGTGTTAATTATATTTTAGATGGCAGTTTATTAATACATTAAATAGTCAAATAATATTATTCCACTTCTACGAATAGGAATAATTAAAAAATACCACGATTGTACACATTAACTTATTTATATATTGTAGAACAATTCACAATTTAGTTAGGTGATTAGGTACGCGATATCGTAATACATACGACAGTTTTAGCTGTGGAAAATGAAAGCAGTTCTTTGGAAGATAAATAGCTTAAAATTAAAGCGGTAGAAGTACCTGACACTTACAGTGATAGCAGGTTTATTTGCACGTAACTGTAATTATTAGAATATAATTTCTAACTTTGTTACTTGTGATTAAAAGAGCCTTGCCAAAAGGTTTCATTTTTGTCTAAATATTGTCTTCAGTACTAGAACGAAGCCGTTGTCTGCAACTGCTGCTTTCCTCTTTCCAGGTCCCCCTCGACTGCCGATATGGGGCAGCTACTGGCTTCTGCTGCTGGAGAACTACCACTTCATGCACAAGGCGACGCTGAGCATGGCCCGCCGCTACAACACGAGCCTGCTGGGCTTGTTCCTGGGCCAGTTCCCCACCGTGGTGGCCACCAGCTACGAGCACGTGCGAACCATCCTCACTCGCCCCGAGTTCGCCGGTCGGCCCGACATCATCCAAGTGCGAGCGCGCGCCTTCGGGGAACGCCTGGGTGAGCGCCCCCGCTGCTCCTACAACGCGTGGGGAGGGGCGGTTCAGTCAGGATATTTGCAATGCCCCTACTCGCAAAAAGACTCATTAATGCACGTCATTTTTACCTACACACACTTCCCTGATGGCAGGGATACTAGGATATTCCCCCTCTCTCCCCTCCTCTCTAACCAGCATCTCGATCTGGTTTTTGTCCAGTTTCCCTGATTCATTGAGCAAATGCAGGACGTAAATGTAGCTTCACTATGCGCACGTTTAGTTGAACTCTCCTTTTGATTGTAAAGGTAAGAGTGGAGGTAAGGGCAAGTTGCTATTTTGTTAGCAATTCAGAAAAATCATTCTTGCAATTGGTGTACCAATGCAAATACGTTTTCTATAAATCAGAAATGAAAATGATTTTTTTCAAATATTGCTAATCTTGCGATTTTTGAAAATTTATTTATATTTATTTATGTTAAACGTTTACTCATCTCTCAACTATTTATTGTTAAAATGACGGGAAGGGATTCTGAAACTCAATAAACCGTGCGCAGATAATATTCTCTCCCCTAGGTCACGTACAGTTTTTACTGTTTTTTGACTGAATAAATCTAAATCTAAGGATATCTTTCTAGTTTCCGTTCTAACTTAATGTTTTTTCCAAAGGTACCTATTTCCGTGATTAATTTAATACTAGCATTTTTATTTATTTATTTAAGAATACTATGTATTTGTATTTGTTGTTGTGGTATTCTTTGAAACGTTTTGGGACTTTGTTTATTTTATTGGTATGTAATCGCACTATACAAGCGCCAGTCGGCCAGACGCCTGCCAGTGTATTGAAGGGACGCCAAGTCATTCGCCAGCTTTCTACCCTAGGGACTAAAGGGAAGTTTTCTAAAAGGTCAACTCAAACTACGCAGAGTTAATGGAAGTGTCGACAGCCGAAATGGCTGAGAGGGTATATGACAGTCAGAAGAAATGGCGGATAGGGAAAATCAGAGAGGGCAAATGAGAGAGATAGGCCGAAAGATTTGCTGGAGAGAGAGCGAGAGGGAAGGCGAGAGAGGGAAGGCGAGAGAGGGAAGGCGAGAGAGGGAAGGCGAGAGAGGGAAGGC